GCGCCGCCGTCGACCTGCCGGCTCTGTCCGAGAAGGACATCCAGGACCTGCAGTTCGGCGTGGAGCAGAACATCGACATGGTCTTCGCCTCTTTCATCCGCAAGGCGTCCGACGTCCAAGCCGTGAGGAAGGTTCTGGGCGAGAAGGGCAAGGACATCAAAATCATCAGCAAGCTGGAGAACCACGAGGGCGTGTGCCGGTGGGCGGCTCTCCGTCCGTCCCGCCGAAGCTGCTTCACGGCGCCGTGTTCTGGACTCACTGAAGGTGTTTCTCGTCGTTTCTGTCAGGTTTGATGAGATCCTGGAGGCCAGCGACGGCATCATGGTTGCCCGCGGCGACCTAGGCATCGAGATCCCAACAGAGAAGGTGTTCGTCGCCCAGAAGATGATGACGGGCCGATGCAACCGGATCGGCAAACCCATCATCTGCGCCACACAGGTCTGATTCTCTGCATGTCAACAATGTACTGATATTACAGTAACCATGTAGTACAATTACTGTTCAACTGTAATAAAAATACTGCAAAACTAATAAATTCACAGTAAAACAGTAATAAATTCACAATGAACCAGTAATAAATTCACACTAAGGTTAATGGAAAGATTATAGTATCTGTCTGGCTGCTTTGCTGCCATTAATTTACTCTAAACTCTACAGTTACTTTTTTAAAGTGTGGCAGCTTGTGAAGTCAGAAATGACTCAAAGCTGGTTTTGGTTCCGGTTCAGATGCTGGAGAGCATGACCAAGAAGCCGCGCCCGACCCGCGCCGAGGCCACCGATGTGGCCAACGCCGTGCTGGACGGCAGCGACTGCATCATGCTGAGCGGCGAGACCGCCAAGGGAGACTACCCTCTGGAGGCGGTGCGCACCCAGCACCTGGTGAGACCCGCTCACACACGCTAAGGCTAACAGCCCAGCTGACTCAGAGCAGAGCCACTTCACAGGGTTATTACAGCGTAGATTAACAGATTACAGGTTTCCTAAATCATTAGGAAAGTGATGTGTTCGTCCAGTTTTGCATAATTTAATGTCAGTATAAATGTGGCAGGCTTGTAAAGTGGAGTGCATTAACTTCTATCATTATTTTGTTCTTGGTTTTGTGTGCACGTTTTCTCTGATTGCTTGTTTTCTTGGTTTTGAGACCCTATAAACAAATCAAATAAAAAAACAGTTAATTTGTTACAATTAACTCAAACAAATATATTAAGTTGTCATGTTACACAAACGTAAATAAATGTAGCATGTAATAAATCAGCTAAAGTTGTAGTTCCATTATTTTTTTCAGCGTAGATTTTTCCACTGTTGGGCAGTTGAGGACATTCATGGTTTTCATGCAGCCTGAATGAACATGAGCTCAACACATTTAGGACTTCTTCTGCTAGAAACGTTTGTTTTTTGTCCTCTGAATGCAGACCAGATGAACCCAGCAGCCCAGTTTACTCTGCTTTTATAAAATGTCTGCTTCCTGCGTTCAGATCGCCCGTGAAGCCGAGGCAGCCATGTTCCACAGGCAGACGTTCGAGGAGCTGCGACGCACCTCTCACCTGACCCGTGACCCCACGGAGTCCGTCGCCATTGGCGCCGTGGAGGCTTCCTTCAAGTGCTGCGCCAGCGCCATCATTGTGCTCACCAAGACGGGCAGGTACGGCCGCGCTGCGCCGCTTCCCTCAGCAGCTCTGAGTCACGGCTTTGGTCCGCCGCCGCTGCAGGCGTTGCAGGCGCCGCCGCCGCTCGGACTGCTGCGTCATGATACTTCTCCATCCCGACGCCTCCGCTTCCTTCTAACGCCGGCCTTCAGCTCCTTTGAAATGTGCCAACTTTCATAATCTGCTTTCTGCTGGTGACCTTCTGAGACGTGAACCCTGACATTTTACAGGTTAATTTTAACTCCCTGTTCATTCCTCTCAGCATGTGATACAGAAGACGCGTCAGCTGGACCAACCGGATGATTATTGCGGCTTAAATACTTTAGCATCCTGTTTTAACAATGACTCTCGTGGCTGCTTCAATGTGGGGGAGGAACTTTGTGTTGCTGCGTGGATGTTTTCCAGCTCAATAATTTTTCACTCTGCAGCAGAAAAAAGCAGAGAGACCATTTAAAACAAGCAGAAGAAGGTGGAGATGTAAAACATCTAAAAATAACAATATAAAGATACAGTGACCGATAGCAACATCTGTACCGGCACCGATATTTTAAAAAAATCTGGTACCAACAATAGCGATCTGTTAGTTTAACTCTATGCTTCATTATTAATTTTATATTATCTCTAAAATTCCTAATTGCACTTTCTGAACCATTCAAAAGAAGATTTCGAATAAAATATGCAAGTTTATTTTTACTTGACTAAAGTCATCAATCTTTTGTTTTACTCAGGTTTCTGAATTATTTATTTTACATTGGCTGCTTGGCTCCTAATTGCACAATTAGTTTGTTTTTCAGATGTTTGGCCAAACTTGTGAAGCTGTTGGTGAATTTAAATGTGCTGAAGTGGTGCAAAGTTACCAAATAAATTTGTAACTCAGCACATTTAAATCTGTGTTTTAAATCAGTTCAGTTGTTTTTCTGTATCGGTTTGGCTGTTAGGAAACCTCAGATATCGGGAGTGAAAGAAGTGGATCGGTGCGTCTCTAATAGAAAGTCTCTAACAGTCTGCTGTTAGAGACTTTGCTGTCTCTAACAGCAAAGTTCAGTTCAAACTTGAGCAATTGAAAATATCTGGCCACAAATGTTCAACTGGGTTTTAGTCTGAAGATCTATTGTGGCTCTGGATGCATGTTTGGGTTTGTCTTGCTGGAAGGTGAAACAATTTCCCAGAATGAAGTTTAACGGAGAGATAAACATCAAAATCATCGATATCAAAGGCCTGGTTGAGGCAGAATGTATTGCATGAATTCAATGAGTATTTCTAAAAATGTAATATTTAGAGTAATGCGGCTCTTTACACACAAAAACTGATCAAATATGTAATTGTCTGTGGCCTGAATAGAGGGCCACAGAAATAGAAATGCAGGCTGGATTGACAAAGAACAGCAAACCCACAGCATGATGCTGCCACCATCAGAACCACTGGTGTGTTCAGGGTGCTAGTTTCTCCCTCCGTTTCTGGCTCCTGCTGAGGTAACGAGCCGCTGCCTGCTCCCTGCAGGTCAGCCTACCTGCTGTCCAGGTACCGGCCTCGCGCCCCCATCATCGCCGTGACCCGCTGTGGGATGACGGCCCGCCAGGCCCACCTGTACCGCGGCGTCTACCCGGTGCTCTACACCAAGCCCGCCAACGACGTCTGGGCCGAGGACGTCGACCTGCGCGTGAACTTCGCCCTGGAAGTTGGTGAGCAGGAAATGTTGTGATCGTTTGTTTCAAAGTTCAGCGAAACAATTTTCTTCTGCTGAAAGTAATTTACACCTTTTTTTTGTTTTTTGTTTTTTTTGCAGGTAAATACCGTAAATTCTTCAAGTCAGGTGACGTGGCCATCGTTGTGACCGGCTGGCGCCCCGGCTCTGGCTACACCAACACCATGAGGGTGGTGCTGGTGCCGTGAGCTGGATCAACCTTTCCCTCACCTTTGACCTTCCTTTCCTGCATCCTCGACCGGTTTCCACCTCAGAGTCCACACCAGACGCAGATTCTCAGTAACGACATGATTCCTTCCTTCAATAAGTCCAGTTTATTGTCTAAATCCTGTTTTGTTCTCTCCCATGTTATATGTGGAACTTTAAGTTGATAAAATATTTAAAATTAATTGGCATAATAAATAAAAAGGAACTGTTGAATAAGATGTTTTTGTTTCACTCGTATTTTACCGCCACTCACGTAAAGTTTGGGTGAAATTAGACCAAACTGAACGCAAACATTTCATTTGACCAATAAACTGAAAAATGTTTGCATGGGAACCAAAAGCCCAAAACTACAAAACTGTGAAAGTTTATAAAATCTGATAAAAACATTGGATGAAAAATAAAAACTGTCCACTGGCTGCTTTTCCATCGACCATTTAATTACACTAATTAGACATATTAGATGGAAACACCACAATTTAGAAAAAATGTAAGTTTTTTTGATAAAAAGTGTTTGTAGTTGGTTGTATTTCACAAAACTGCAAATGAAACGCATCAGGAGTCATGTGATCATCAGACGGACGTTACCGCTGACGAAGACGACAAAGACAACAGGAAGACGATCGATTGAGTTTTAACTGCATTTCTGAGTTAAAGGAAACATTGCCATTGCAAAATTGAGTTTGTCAACCTTAGTAGAATATGAAAGTCAAGGAAACACAGCAACTGAATGATTTTCTTTTTATAAAAACTGAAACACCAAAACGAGATTTAAGAGAAAGCGAATTCAGTCAGAAATATTTGCTATTTTGTTCCCAAACAATGGACTGCCCTTTAAATTTATGAGGCAGGCATTTAATTGGTGTTTAAGAAAAATAACAAACAGAAGTTTAAATAATGAAACTAATAAATTATGTTGTCCTGTTCAAAAATATGCAAGTTAATTTTATTGTGGGCTTCATGAAAACATTGGATTTGTGACTCAATGTCCAAACAAAAATTTTCTCCCCAGGAAAAACCTGGAGTTCGTAGATGACGTATACTTTCATTAACGATTACATTATTCACATTATGAGCAATAATGTTTCACTATTTCATCAATCTAAGTAAAACAGTTCTTCAAAGTGAGTTATTAGAGGACATATTTGATGTAAAAGTGTCTTATCCTAATTAACCTCTGAAGCACCAAATTCAATACTTATTTACTTGCTAATCCACCACTTCTGACTCTGTGAACATGGGAAATAATTTTCTTTGTATTGAGTATCTGGCAGATTATAACCCGGGCTATTTTGAATTTTGGCAGCGAACAACCCCGCGCTGTTCTGGATTTATAATCCAGCTTAAAGTCTGAGACTCCCCCTTCCTGCCGTCGTTTCCATCAGATTTTCCTCCGGTCCTCATCACTCTGCTCTTCAAAAAGAAACCCACAGCTCAGCGCAAGATCATTTGACCATATGTCTGTTTTTTATTGCATTAATTTCAGTAGCTAAAATAAAATGTGCCTAATATACAGGAGATTAAATGATCAGATCTGGTGATTAAAAAGGCAACAAAAATGAGAAATAGACTAATAAACAGATCAATAACTTTACTCCTCGACACTGGATGTATTTAACATAAACCCCGCTGATGGCAGGTGGATGGAAAAACAAATCAGCTAAACACATTGACTACTAAAAGGATGTCACTGTTGTTTCATAAAGCAGTCTTTTGGATTCAGCATAGCGTCACAAAGCAGCAGATGTCAGATTTTACAATCGAACGTTGAACAATGAAAGAGGTAAATATGCAGCAATAAAACCCGTCAGGGTTTGGGTGTTGATCACGCCCCGGTGACTGCTGGTAGCCCTTTGACTGGTGCAAGAAACATTCACATCATTCTCAGTGCGTTTGCTGGTTTCGAGATGTTTGATTATCCTCGATTGCTTTTAGTTTTTAATCAGTTCCTCTTCTGTAACAACTTGAAAGCCAAAGTCACAATAAGTTAGAATATTATCAAAAAGTGTTTTCCACTGATTTTATATTTATAAAATATTAAATAATGTTTTATATAGATTCATGACACAGACAATGATGCATTTATTGCTGTTGTTTCTGATAAGTTTGATGATTTACAGCTAAAGAAACAAACTATGTTAGAAAATTACATTAAACCAAACAAATACAATCAAGTCTCATAACGAGGGTAAAGGTCGTCGCCAAAGAAACTAAACCTTTTAACTATGCTGCATCTGTGCTTGTGATTCCTGATCTAAGGAATCATCCAGAGTGGAAAACCAAGCCGGCGTTCACCCAATTCCGACATTTTGTCAAATGGGACTGTTTTGGCGCAGTAAGTGATCTCAGTGTCCCGCATGCACAGTAGAGGGCGCAATAACGTCACGCATAGAGAGCGTGCTCAGTGTTTTACAAACTGCCACAAAAAAAGACGACGAAGAAGAAAAGCTCAACTTGGGAGGTAAAAATGGAGGCTAACAGTGGAGCATATCTTACACATTAAGATATACATTTACAACTTAATCATCGTTATCGTCCGCCATGGTTGTTGTCGATAGTTACTTTCACTTTTATCCCCAAATGTTAGTTCTATAACAGCAGTAGATATCGATATCTTTAAAAATATGAATAAATTCAGGTATTTTGTGCTGCTTAGTGATACTTGGTTGAGTATCAATGGGAATAATTGATGCAAAAACACAAAATCTCACCAAGTATTTTTGTTCTAGTTTCTAGTACAAATATCTTAGTACACTTAAGCAAAAAAAAAAAATTAAAATACAAATAACTGTTCAGCAAGATATACAAGCTTAATTTAATTCAATAATCCCTTAATATTGATTAAAAGGTTTTAGTTCCAGGGACAGATTATTTCACTTATAAGATGAACTAGTGGAACTAGAACTTTTTAAAATAAAAAATAAGCAATTACTGACTTAAAACAAGCTCATATATCTTGCTGAATAGGTATTTATTTTATTTAAACTGTTCTATTTGCACTGGAAGTTAGAACAAAAATCCTTGGTAAGATTTTGTATTTTTGCAGAGGAGATAATCTCTTTTATGTTTTAGGAGTCATAAAATCTACAACAAGCTGCCAATTTATTATAAATATGCCAATAATTACCACAAAGTATCACGACAAACCTTTTACTCCATATCGTCTGAGAGTTAATAGCAGAAGCTGAACTTTATGCCATAATCAAAATGAACTCAAATGGTTCAAATGCTTCACTCTGTGTAATGAATCTATGTAAGTTTCTCTTTTTGAACTGAGTCACTGTTTGCTGTATTCTAATTAACTGATTGATTTACCAGTAATTTTACTGATTTGACACAAGTGGTTTAATTCACAGTACCTTTATAAGCCCATAAAAATAAAAACAGATTATTGCATACTATGCTCATGGCACACAAACCTCAACTCGGGTTTTTTTTTTTTTTTTGTCCGTTCACATTCATCCACACATTCAGATCCCAAATCCTCTCTTCCCCTCAGACTGACATTGTTACATTCATTGCTTTGTTATTTTTTTAAATGCAGTCTGATCAGTGCGACCCGTTCGGGTGTGCAATATTGCTGAGAAAGCTTTCTATCTTGGAAGACACGCTGCCGCCAAACCCTTCGCGCTACAGTGACCTCTGAAACGAGCAAAGTGCACAGACTGTCTGTGCGCAGCATTTCTCCGGAAAGGATGCTAACAAGAGGGAAGCCATTTTTGGTTTCAATCATAAACTGAATACACAGCTGTGGGTAATTCTTTTCAGATCAAGAGGTGAAGCTAAAAAGGGAACCAAAAAAAAAAAAAGGTTTCAAATAAATAATAACAAATCACAGAGGAAGAGCAGAATATAATATAGTATATATAAGAAGTGATATTTCTTATCAGGTCTCAAATATATACCCCATTAATACTTTTGGGTTTTGTCATCATAATGAAAATGTTGAGTAGAAAAAATATGTTTCTGTCCCGTCATCCACAAAAACTAAACTGATCTCTCATCTGATTAAAACAACACACACACCCCAGCACTGGATTTAACATTTAAAGGTGACCTATTATGCTTCCTTCAGCAGATGACGGTATGTTCGTTACAGTTTTCCTCAAAATAATTCTTAGAAGATGAGATTTTAGTTTTGCAGAATGAGCTGGTTCAGGGCCTGTCACCTTAAATCCAAATGACCTGCTGCTGGCCACGCCCCCCCAACTCAACGTTTACACATGCAAGTGAAAATGGCTGCAAACAGATGTGCAATTATACAACCGTACGTCTTTGAAAAGCAGACGTTGAGCCTCCTGCACAACCAACAAGGTGCAGCAAGTGGTTTCTGTGTGGTAAGCAAACAAAACACTTGTCATTTCCAGTAGCCATTCTACAGCGGCGATGCCAGCTGACCAAACGTGCTGGAGCGTCGCTTGGTTGCTAGGTAACGGGCTGAATTCTGCTGGAGTTGAATGTAACGTGATTTGTCACGGGACATTCAGAAGCGTTTTGAAACGGCTTGTTTTCCAAAAACATATGTGAGTGGGATGTTTTAAAGCACTTGGTCTGTTTTTATAAGCAGTAGAGACCCAAATGGAAGCATAAAAACGTGAACTTTGCATAATAGGTTCCCTTTAAAATGCCAACTTGGAGGGGTTTCCTCTGCAGCTCAGCAGGTGGAGGAGGGTGTGTCTGACACTCACAAGTTGGAGGGAAGCTTGGATTGTTTCTGTTCACTGTCTAACACTTTAGCGGGAGACTGATCGCCGTCGGGCCGGTTCCAAGGCTCAGGTCCTGATTGTGTCCGACTGACGGGAGCACCCTGACCCGGGATGGCGGTGTAGGGTTTGTTGACCGCCTTGGGGGAAGGGAAGCCCCCCGCCGCCTCCTCTAAGGAGCCGCTCACCACTGAAGGCCTTTCCTGGTGTAAATAGCTGTGAGAGCCTGAGATTGTCTTTATTTCCTGGGTAAAGAGATCCGCCGAGGACTCTGCTGTCTCTCTCAGAGCAGAGCTCTGAAAGCTGGTTGCGCCGAGCGGCTCGGCATGGTGAACCGTCCGTCTCTGAGTGGCGGGGCTGCGGAGAGGCGGCGTGTAGCACGGCGAGGCCTCGGCAGAGCCGTACTGCGCCAGGGAGGCGAGAGCCGAGTGCTCAGGGAGAACCTGCGGGAGGAAAACCGACTGCAGTCCTGCCAGGGTGTGCTGCGCCAGAGAGGCGGCCACCCCGCTTCCACCGGCCGCAGACGGCGGCGGATTGATCCTGGCCGGCGGCTGCCTGGTGGTTATGATGGGGAAATGTGGGAGGTTGATGCTGCTGGACGTGCTGGTCGGTCTGTTGAGGCTGGGGGGGTGGTATGGCTGCTGCAGCTGGCTCAGGATGGGGTTCACCGAGCTGCAGATCAGAGGGCTGATGGCCGGGGCTGGAAATCTTCCTGAAACTTTCCCCAGCGCCCCTTGCTGCAGCAAACCTAGAGGCTGAGGCGGAGCGGCCGTAGCACCGAGGAACGGCTGAGGGTGGAGCTGAGCGGAGCAGGTGTAGGAGGGGAAGACCGGGGCGCAGTGAGGAGGCTGGTAAAGAGGCTGCGGCGTGGGCTGTAAGCTGCTCGTAAAGATGGGCTGTGACATCACCGTGGGCGATAAAACCGCGGTGGAGTGATGCTGCGCCAAAGAGAACCCCAACGTCGGCATCTCAACCACAGATCTGGGTTTAGCAGAGCCAACCGGGGATCCAGGAACTGAACCAAAGCTGCTGGAGGCGGTCCCTCCCATGTGGACCCTCCTGGAATGGTCCTTCATGGAGGAACCAGTAACCAGAGGACTGTGGAAGAGGATGGGAGGCAGCTGGGAGTGATGGGCCAAGGCTAGAGCCAGCGGCGTGGTGGCAGCGGCAGCCTGGAGCGGCGCCTGGACCAGCGGCGTCCAGATGAGAGGGGTGGGGGACGGCGGAGCGACAGGGTTTAAACTCTGCGCAGTGCTGCTTTGGATCAGCTGCGTGCATTGGGCCATGTCCCGGTCGTGCTGGACGATTCTTTGGATGATTTCTGTTTCATGGAGGTTTAATGTGCCGGAGCTTTGGTGATGCTGGACTTTGTGCTGCAGAATCGAGTTCCTCTTTCCTGAGAGAACAGAAGAAGAAACCATTCAGCTGCAATGCAGGGTGGGAATTATCAGCAATAAATCAATTAATAGCGAGATAAATTAAAATTAGTTCCAACCCTTCATCCAACCGTAATTCAAATCTACAAACTTTTATCATTTTTGTTGTATAAACCAGGATTTGGTAGTAACTAGTTACATTTACTTGATATGTCTGAGGTTTTTTTTATTAGTCATATCAGTCTACTATCACAAAAAGATGCATAATCTTCAAAATACCAGTGGAAACATGAAAAATCTGGTCAACAATTTCACTGCAAAAACACAAAATCTTACTAGTTATTCTGGTTCCAATGATAAATTAACTTATATGTTAAAATTGTTTTGTTATAAGTGAAAGAAATTGACAATAGAACTAGTACTTTATCATTATTAATTAGATTTACTCACGACAGTCTTGCTAAAAGGTTAGTTTTGTCAGATTTCAAGTGTACTATGACATTTGCAGTAGAAACTAGACCCAAATTACTTGGGAGAGATTTTGTGTTTTTTCAGTGTATAAAAAGCATTTGCTAAGATTTTTCCAGTGTTTGTTGAGGACGGTGTTAATACGTTCAATCGCTGCACCATTTTCTGCTATTTTGAATGAAAACTGTTTTAGATTTAAATCTAAAGCACTTCTGGGCTTTCCAGCAAAAATTAAAGTGACACGTTTTATGCTTCATTTCATTTTCAGTAAATATGGTGGATTTTCATGCTGAAAACCCATCAAGCAGGTTCCATTAATAAAAAAGATGGATATGACCACGACTGATTCCAGTTAATTATTCACACTTCTAATTAAAACCCAGAAATCTCATTCTGTCTGACATTGTCAAGCTGAATGAGCCATGAATCAGAGAGTCTTGCAGAGTCTTCGTAAAGTTTTTCACATTTTGCCGCATTGCAACCACAAAGTTAATGGGATTTTTCTGAGTTTTTGCTGTTTTTGTCAGTTTTTCTCTCTCTAGACAAGCAAAGCTGCATTTACACCAAAACATGCTTTTCCAAAGTATTGGCGGCTGAACGTAAAAGCACAACCTGCTCTTCACATTTTCTTTTGTAAAAAAGATTCAGAAAATCATTACTCTTTTTTTTTTATGTCTGTCACATAAAATCCCAATCAAATCCAGAGTTTGTACAATTTTACCAACATTTTCAAAAATTTTCAAGGCAAGTTTTAAACTTTTTCCAGCACCGCACTTTGGAGATAAAAACAAAAAAACAAATTAAAAAAAAAAAAGTTTCAATAAAATATAAACCCAACCTTTATTTTAATTACAAAGTCATTAGGAATAATAAATATTCATCACTCTGAAACAATCCAAACAAAGTGTAATGTAAATAACCTCTATAATCAAAGTAGATGGTTAAAAATGCAGAAAGTAACAAAAACATCTAAATAAAGAAATAATTTTGGTGATTCAAATTGACCAAGAAGAAAAGTTTAGTCTTATATAACTTCAGACAATGAGAAAAAAATATTATATATGTTTTTATTAGCTGTATGAAAATATTTAGTTTAAATTGTAAATAACACTTTCCAAATGTAGGCTCTCAATCGAGGGTTAAATTCTACTTTATTACAAAACTGTGCAGTTTGAAAGTCAAGCACTTTCAAGGACTTTATGGAGAAATCAAGAACTTTCCAAACCGCTTAATTGGAATTCAAACACTTTCAAGGATTTCAAGGACCAATACGAATCCTGCAGTGAAGTTGAAACCTTTAAGGTGACTGAATACACTGCAAAAACAAAATCTTACCAAGTATTTTTGGTCTAGTTTTAGTGCAAATATCAATGTTCACTTGAAATAAGTCAAAACTAACTTGCTTTTTAACAAGCCTGTGTATCTTGCTAAAAAGTTACTCTCTTTAGAGAAACCCTGACCCTAGACTGTCTTATGCCAAGTGTACTAAGAGAAACTAAACCAAAATACTTGGTAAGATTTTGTGTTTTTGCAGTGTAGCTGTGGAATACAAAACAAACTGCTTCATATAAAACGTAGATAAAAGGCACCATTTTACTTTATTTAGTTGTTTAGACGTATCTGAGAATTCTCAAAAGCTCACCGATTCGGTCCAGGCGGTCGAGGGCGACGGCCTCGAAGGCCCTCCGCATCATGGGATACTCCTCCAGCACCTCGTTGAAGTTGTCAACAGACAGAGAGTACAGGCGGCAGTAGTTATCTGCTCGCACGCTGGCCGTCCTTCTGCCTCGAGTCAGCAAGCAGATCTCTGCAAGGACAGTAAGAGTGACCTATTACGCTTCCTTGAATAAGTTAGGATAGGCCTATGGGTTACACAAAATATGTTCGTTGCATTTTTTACACAAAATCATTCCTGGTCTGGTCAGTTCTGCCTATTTTGAGCTTCCTTCAGAATGAGCGCTGCAAAAGCACAAAATATTAACAAACATTTTTGGTCTAGTTTCTTCATAAAGTTGAAGTAAGACAAACTAAATGCAAGTCCATTTTTTAGCAAGATATAGAGGCTTGCTTTAGGTAAATAATTTCTTAATACTGGTAGATTATTTCACATACAACAAGATACGTTTCCCATGATATAAATTACTATATCAACCAATGAACCCAGAACTTTTCATCAATATCGAGGAATTATTCACTAGAAAAAGCCTCTTTATCTTGATGAAAAGTTACTTGTAAATTAGTTTTGTCTTATTTCAAGTGTGCCAATATATTTTCAATAGAAACTGACCTGAAAATACTTGGTAAGATGTTGTGTTTTTGCCAATGAACTGTTGTTACTTTAAATCCAAATAAGCTGCTGCTAAAATGTCTCCAAACAGACACGTAATCATACAACTGTTCTTTGAAAAGCATAAGTAGAGGCTCCTGCACAACCAACAAGAATGCAACAAGTGGTTTCTGGATGGTAAGTCGACATCAAAACACTTGTCTTTTCCAGCAGCCATTGTACAGCGGACCAAACGTTGTGGAGCTCCACCTTGGTTGCTAGGTAACTGGCAGGGCTTAGCTGGGGTTGCTAGGTAACAGTGTAGGGTCAGTTGTATTGGATTCAACAAACAGGAGGTTTTTACAATGGTTCATTTTCTAGACACTAACAAACATTAATTTATCGCAAAAAACACTTTTAGGCGTAACATGTGCAAAATGTGAATTTTGCAGATGTTCTCTTTTAGAATATTGTTGATATATGATCAGCGTTAACGGAAGAGATAAAAAAAATGCAGGGATCTTTAACGTCTTACATGGTGGCAGAGTTGATGTAGTTTTAGATCCATTTCCAAAAGAACAGTGAGGAACAGTCATTAGCGTGAGACAATAAAATGTTGGCCGCCTGATGCCTGAACCCCCACAGATGGAGCACTTAATGCAATTTCTGCAGCTTACAGTTTTTGTCCCGGCCTCATCTGCCGTGCCAGATCAGAAAAATAAAATAATGCCCCATTAAAAAAGAGAGGACAAAAAAAAAATGTACCGTGACACATAAATCGCTTTTTCTGTCCAGGACAGACAAGTTCATGACACAAACACTTCATAGAAATAACATCTAATTATGTATCCAGAGTTCTGGTTTAAGACATTTTTCTTTAAATTTAAGTCTTTTTTGATCATGTATTGAAACCGCAGTGTATAATAATTAGAAATATTTCACTCTACCAGCTTGTTTGTTCGTGAGGATTGGTGGTGTGCGCCTCTCTAGCACAATCTTACAGGTTGAGGCGAAGCAAACAAGAAGAAAACAACTAGAAAGTTTGATGTTTAGGTTTTAAGCAAAGGGCAAAACTCCACAGATGGACTCAAAGATTGCAGAGCTTTGCTCCTCTTAGAGGCCTTTTAAGGAGATGAAGATTTTAACCAGCTGTAATGTTCAGGGAAGTTAATCTGTTGAGTGCCTGCGCAAACTAAATCAAAACAAATCTTACAAACACAATTCCTTCGCACACGTTAAATCAGCCCCATCCTGTTCTCTCTTTATCTGCCCAGTGGGGTGCGTGGAAACTTCACCTCCAAAATAAGAGCCGTCCGTCAGCTTTGTGTCTTTGCTGCTCTTCGTAATGACGCTGACGACGCCGTGCTGGATGAAGTACATCTTCTTCCCGATGGTGCCCTCCCTGATGATGTAGTCGCCCGGCTGGAAGACCTCGAAGCGCAGTTTGGTCAACATGGAGGTGACGAAGTTGGGGTCGGCGTTGGCGAACAGAGGCATGGAGGCTACCAGTTTGCGGCAGTTGAAGTTGATGATTTCCTGAGGAGGATGCAAGAAACTGGCCGTTATTGCCTCCCTAAACAGACTAGGACACATCTACGGGCAATATAAACATGCCCAGTACATTTTTTTGCACAAACTCATTCTTAGATGATAAGATTTTAGTCATTTCTGCCTCTGTTGAGTTTCTTTCAGAATGGGCTGCTTTAGGGCCTCTTTGTTACGTTGAATACAAATAAGCTGCAGCTAGCTACGCCTCTCAACACAACATTTACATTCACACATAAAAATGGCTGCAAACAGATGTACAGTTATACAACTATACATTTTTGAAAAGTAGAAGTAGAGCCTCCTGCACAAGCAACAAGAAGGCCGCAAGTTGTTTCTGGATGGTAAATCAACATCAAAACACTCGGTTTTTTTTCTCCAGCAGCCATTGTACAGAACATACAGCGTTAATACCAGCTGACCAAAAGTGCTGGAACTCTGCCTTGGTTGCAAGGTTTTGATCTAGACTTTGCTGATTTGTAACATTACATTCCTGAGGTTTTTTGAAACGAATAATTTTACAGACACCAAAAAACATCAACTTATTGCCTGCTGGTGTTTGTTTCAGCACTTGGGTTGTTTTTAGAAGCATTAGAGACCCAAATAGACGTATAAACACATGTAAAATGTGAATTTTGCAGAATAGTTGCCCTTTAAAATAGTTTTTCTTTCTCCTTATTCCATATGTTTTTCAGCGCTTAATTACTTCTGCATACTTCAACTGATTTCATCAATTCATACATCAAAATCCTCACGTTGAACTGAAGTCCTCTGTTGTATCTTTTGGTCATTTCAGCTTTCACTTTTTTTGAAGGCTTTGTACTTTTACGCAAATTTCACCTCCATTGAAATGAATTTAAATTTCTCAAAATTCCACAACATTCATCAAAATCTTTGTGCTCTTTCACAGCTTCCTGCTTCTGCTTACTTCAACTTAGAACCTCCATTATAATTTTAAACAAATCACAAGAGGTTAAGCTCTCTTCAGATGATTTTCTAAAATCACAATTTAAGTTTTATGCAGATTTTTAGTCCGTTTTCAGTTTTACAGTGTAATCCATTAGCGAATCCGTCCACTGCGCTTTGGTAACCAAGAACTTTTCTAGTTTTTTCACAAACAAAATGCTGATGTTCAAACACAGTTCACTCCACCAGAATAATTTATGCATCAAAACGTAGAAATGGGTTTCTGCTGTGAGGAACTTTAAGGGTCATTGCTGTAGCTCTTACAGTTTTCTTTCAATCTTTCAAACACTTCTGGAGCGCAGGCCTCTCACCCCCTTTGCATTTTCTCCTTGTGTTTCTTTCTTCTGCTCTGTTTAGATTATCCTGTCTTTTGGTCTTGCTGTCTTCAGCTGTCTTCTCATATTTCTGTCTTTAGTTATTTTTGCCGTCAGCTCTTTTCAGCTCCCTCTAGCATCTTCTGTGAGTCCACTCACTAGCATTCTCACAGCTGTTTCGCAAGGAACAGTAATTTTTGGAGTTTTTTAATTTAGTTTTTGCTCGGGCGAGGCGTTCTCGATGCTGCATGTGTATATTTCAATCATTATAAAAGCAGCTTAGTGCTCTGTTAATAAGGTTCTCTGCCCTCATACGGCTGTTACTAATCAGATTACAACACTATTAACATTATCATGGAAAGTAAGGCAGCCGTATTGGATTATATCAATAATTATCTGAGCACCATTGAGAACGGGATGCTCTCATTTTTGCTGACATGGTACAACTTCTATGAATCCAAGTTCATTTGGGCTTCACATGTTCGTAAACCGACCTCTCGCAGCGGCTCGTTCAGCTCCTCCAGGATGCTCTCCTCATCGAACATCTTGCCCTGGTAGCGGTGCTCGTAATAGTCGTGGATTCGCTGCCTCATGTCGGCGGGGAGCTTGTGGAAGGACATGTACTGCTCCACTTGCTTATACTGTGACAAAACAACAAGACTTTCACTTTTACAACCGGTTCAGAACCGCTCCAATAACCCGACTCGCAACGGCAGTTTCAAAGCGACTGCTTCTCCTGCAAAGACAAAATGCAAAGTCATGTCAGAATTAATATATTAACCTGATTGATGTGCTGGCTCAGAGGTGGACTATAATGTATCTCATTATGTTAACAGTCAACTGTCAGGCCATCTGTGAAACCTGCTCGCAGTGCGGTGTTGTGGCTCTGCCCCATCTGACAATTACAGTTGTGCTCTGCAGGCTGCAGCTAATGACATTAAGCAGCGTGTCCTTCAGCAGTGCACTCCACCAGCAGAGCAGCGCCGACGATCACAGCACCCACTGTACGTATGGCGCTTCCTGCCATAAGCCTTTGCTTTGAGGTTATTAAATCTGTGCCTCTCGTTTTATCCCTCACAGAGGCGGACATGTAGATCTAATAGTGACTTCCCATGATTATTCCTCATTTTTTAAAAATGTTTTAGTCTCCTATTCCATTTCACATCAGAAAACAGTGAAGCTTCTGCTGTCCATCTATAAATATTTAAACATATTTCAGGTGAAAAATGTGTTTGTGACAAAAAACCTAATTTTAACCAGATATAAAATTGTATTTGTTGTGTTATTATAATACATACAGCGCCTTACAAAACATTCACACCTCCTGAGGCTTTTTTCTGATTGTGTCGCAGTACCTCAGTGCAATTTATTGGTATTTCATTGGGATCCACAAATTGCAGGGAGGGTTTCTGCAGGAAAACTCAAATGTAAGACTTTTTAAGACCTTTTAAAAACCATTTTGAATCAAATTTAAGACTTATGTGAGAACAGAAATGTAAAAAAGAAAATACAATATTCCATATAGCCTACAAATAAAATTGCACTTACATATAAAATATGCTAAAAAATCCCCATAAAAGATGCAAAAAGCTTGCTAGCTACATGTCTAAGCTATGTTAGCAGCTTGTTAGCGATAGCCTAAACTGCCTTGAGTTAAAATAAAAAATTAAAACTTTATAAATATGAATTCAGCCATGACAAAATTTAAGACCTGTGATCAAAATATTTAAGGCCTACATACATAAAGAAGTAAGTAGGCCTTAAATAAGTATTAATTTAAGGCATTAATTTTAGACAGTTACATTTAAGACTTTTTAAGAATGCATTTTATTTTTACTATGAATTATCATCCAGGCCAGTGACATATGCTTGTGTATAGATGGGAAATAATATCATAATCTGCCTGATTGGAGCATTTCTTTGTTTCTAAAGGTTTAGCTGCTTAGAGGTTTCCTAACACAACAAAACAAATCTCACCTTTTCTTGGTACTGCCTCCTTGAGGAGTCCAGAGACTGGATCAGAGCTGTGGCGTGACCCACAAACATGGCAAAGCAGGTGGCGCCCACGATCATGCTGAGGATGGTGAGCCAGACGTCGGCCATGCCGATGGGCGGGTACAGGCCGTACCCGATGCACAGCATGTGACTCATGGCTTTGAACAGGGCATAGGAGTACTGCTGACCCCAGGTGTCATTCTGGAGGAGAAGTGGAGGCGGAAAGAGAAACTTCATCAGTAAGTACGCTGCAGCGCTGCTGCAGCATCGTGTCCGTGGGAGATTTCAGAAAAACAAGTGGAGGTGGTGAGCATTTTATCTTGGCTGTTATCTTGAACCTCAACTGCTTATGTTTAAATTAGTGTTCCTAATATCATGGCTTCTGTTCCACCAATCAATACACAGAGGATCAGAAAAGAAAAATGCCCAAGAAGAGACAGAAAGAGTAAAAATATTTTGTCATTCACACACTAATATTTATTATGTTAACGAGGAATAGAAAATCTTCAAATATGGCCTGTTAAGTCTGTAGGTATGAAACGACTAATCGGTTTAATCACGATTAATCGACTATCAAAATAATCATCAACTAATTTAGTGATTGATAAATTGTTAACTGGAGTATACAAACTGTAAAAAGCGCATTTGCTTGAAAGAACAACATATTCACAGCCTTAAACGACGCAAAACTATACAAAAATATATAAATTTTGCATTTAAGATGTAAAGCAATCCTTTATCTGTAAATGTGGAAAAAATGAAGAGCCCATTGCATTGAAAACCTCCTGGTATTTCCACCAAATATTGATTCCTGAACTCTTCCTCAGTTAAAACATTGCTATTGTTGTTTCTAAATGAATATAAACTTGTTTTCTCTGCATTATTTAAAGTCTAAAATCACTGCGTCTTTTTTGTTATATTGACCATTTCCCATTTTCTGCAAATAAATAAAAAAATTTGTTTAGAATTTCAGAGACATGTTGTCAGTAGTTATACAATAAAAGAGTAATATTCATTTTACTCAAAATGATGAGTTTCTTTGATTTTACTATTTATAGGTATATGTTTTACTTTCTTCCAGAGCTTTATGTTCTACCAGAACTCCTTAAGTTTCATAGCTTAGCACACACTAAAGAAATGGTGCAATTTAGGTAAAAAAGAAAAAAATTCTTGTTTGAAAAATGTTAATAGTTTATTTGCATGTTTATATAATATTGTATAAAAGAGACTTAAATTAAGTCATTTTTTATCCAATTAATCATCAGAATAATCAATTAATTGCGAGATTAATCGATTAATTGTCAGGATAACCTATACATTCATCAATACCAAAAATGATCATTAGTTGATGCCATAGTTTGAATACAATATAATGACTTTACATTGTTATTTGGGGATTTTGTATGTAAAAGGAACAACATTTTCCCGATAATTCTCTTACCACCATCTTGTTTCGGGTGACCCAGCAGTCTGGAGGGAAATCCTGCAGCATCGGCACCAGGAACTGCAGGCAGCCGTCCCAGTGGCACAGCAGCAGCATCATCCCAATCAGGTTCATGATTCGCACCATGGCACTGGCAAGATCGTACGTCATGTGAAAGACCTACGATGAACAGGACCCATGAGGCAAGATATGATAAAACGCTCACGCTTTGAAAATAAACTTGCGATTTTAACTATCTCCCCTGACATTTGGGGATCTGAGATGAAGTGCAGCGTCTATTTTAGAGCAGCAGAGGCTGTTTACGTGGTTTTAATCAGTGAGTATTCAGCATGAGGAAACACTGTCTCAAAGAAGCAGCTTCAAAAATCAAAGCTCTTTGATTTTTAGGATTTTTCCAGGATGAAAAAATCTAATGTTTTTCCTAACATTTTGTGCACCAAGTTAAGAGATACCAAGCTGTGCTTATAACATCCCTCTTCAGTGTGGTGGCTGTTACAGAGTGAAGAAGACTTAAAGATAGCTATTTCCAGTACCAGTGAGTGGGTAGTAATGATGTAAAACAATAACACAGACGAATACAAGCTGCAATTTAAAAGAAAAACCTAGATGTTTGGCAACATGTCTAGAAATCTAGGCAGGGGGCGCTAGAGGGAACCTCAGAAAGTGGGAGGAAAGATGAAGAAGAAAAAATTGTTCATTACGTTCTTATATCATAAATGTTTAATTATATATTTTTTATATAACAAGTTTTTTAATCATTATAACATATAAGATAGCGTAATGTTATAATTATTTATTTGATTTTTTTTATATATCTGAAATTGGTGATGTGATCTTTACTGTTTTATCCACTGTTTTCACTCCATTCTGTTGTTGTGTATTATTAAGCATTTATGAGGCATTTATGAAGCACGTTGTTATTGATTTATTGTCCAATCCCATTGGATAGTGAATAAAAATGAGAAAAACGTTCTAAAAGTTTATGTTTATTTCCATATTTTGTAGCGCCTGCCAGAAGCTAATGCTGTCTAGGAACCTCTGATCTCGGACATACCGTCAACTGGTTTTGTGATGCTAACTACATTAACTGGCAATGGAACATGTAAAAACCAGTTTAAAATGTCTTTTAGGTGATCATATTTGTCTAAGTTTCAAAATAATATGAAATCGCAGTGTAATGGAGGCGTTTTCCCTGCAGGGAAAGTTTCTCCCATTGGAAGATCCAGAACTATGTTCCTCGGCTGGCCTGGGATCGCCTTGGGATTCCCCAGATGAACTGACCCAATTGTCTGGAGAGAGGGAAGTCTGGGCCTCTCATTTTAGGCTGCTGCTTCTGGATTAAGTGAAAGGTAATGGATGGATGGATTTTAAAATAATATAAACTGTATGTTACAGCAGCCGCTTCCTGACAGAGTGGTCTGAGGATTCCCCTGCAGTCTAACTAATAGAGAATAGACAAAAATACAATCCTTGGCTTCTTTTTGGACAGTACCCAATCATAGTGATGGTAATTTACAAAGTTATTTATAAATAAAATTGATTGTACTGTGAAGCTGGGAGAAACTCCCTGAGCGATTCTATAGCATCTCAGGAACTGTAAAGCTCTAAAAGTATGATGCTTGACACCAGTATCCATCCCATGATTGATTAAAAACGAGAGGAAAATAGGAATCTCGTTAAATCAGTACCAGCTTATCAAAGCTTTACAAAAACCAGAAATCAGAAACCAGCTTCACAAAACCATCATTATCTAGAAGCAGCAATGTTGTTGCTTTCCTGATCTAAAGAAAAAAGCCTAACTGCTTACAGTAGGGCTGCAAGTTATCAATTAACGAGTTAATCTAAAGTTGCTCGATCTTATAGATTAACTAATTGATAAGTGGCCATTTCTTAAAAACTTGAGTTTTGTCTGGTATATAGAGGGATCACCATCTTTTCATAAGGGCAAAATGTTTCATAATATTATGAATTTTAAAATGAGGACTGACTTTGGGCACCCCTGGTCTAAGACATAAGACTTTTCTTCGTCATCCAGCGGATGTTTAATCATTTTGAACTAATCTGAATTTTACAACCTACTAATTGACAGTCAACTATAAGTCAGCTCATAGTTTCCATCCTTAGAGCACAAGTAATAGAAAATAATAAGAAAAAGACTCCCTAACTACAGTATCGACTTACAGCTAACGTTAAAACACAGTGAAACCGTAAGGCAGAGGCTCAAAAGCCTTCATAAGGTTTCATTTTATAAGCTTTTCTAATGCCTAAAATCAGGTGTGAACTGATTTGTCTGTGCCGATTTCCTTAATTCTGGGATAATGTCGATCGGCCGATACTTAGCCGATACTTAGCTGATCTTATCCGCTAATCTTTTCTACCTCAGCAGATGTCTAAATATCAACCACTGTCCAGTTTTGCTCTGCTGTGAGAGAGCAAAAGACTGACAGAGCAGCCCACAGGTCATATCTGCACTGTTGACAACTCTGCAGCTTTCTTGCTATTGTTAGCAACATTTCAGACAAACTAGACAATTTATGGAACCGTTAGATCAGGGCGGATAGCAGAAGGAAGATCTACCTCTTCCCACTGGTGGATGTAGCGAATGAGTCTGGAGAGACGCAGCAGCCGCAGCAGACTCAGGATCTTGGTGAACCGGACGATCCTCAGGGCCCGGGCCGTCTTGTAAAAGTCAGAGTCTATGCGAGTTTCCACGATGAGGAAGATGTAGTCCACAGGTATGGAGGAGACAAAGTCCACAACGAACCAGGTCTTCAGGTACTTGACCTTGATCTGGTGCGGGTCCAGGATGATCTCCGTGTTGTCCTCCTTAACGATGCCGGTGCGAAAGTTGAGAACGAGGTCCAGGAGGAAAAAGGTGTCCGACACGACGTTGAAGACGATCCATGGCGGCGTGTGCTCGTCCTTGAAGAAGGTGATTCCCACGGGGATGATGATGAGGTTTCCTACCATCAGCAGAAGCATGGTCAGGTCCCAGTAAAACCTGCAAACAGTGGTGGATTAAAACTTTCACCATAAACTTGTCCCAGACGTTATTGCAGTAAACAATAATATTGCTGCTTTGAAACCATTTTCAAGTAACATAATGGTATAATAAAGCAAGGTCTGGATGCAAATTTGAATCCAAAACGGACTTGAAACCTCTGGTCTCGGTCTGGTTGAAGTGGACTCTAAAACGGTAGAAAACAAGGAAAAGCAGAATATAAATGGTCTGAAGTTGTTTCACAACTTTCTATCAGCTTATTGTCCCATTGCTGTGGCGTTCTGCAGCTGCTGTGATTTTTAAACCTTTAATAAATGATAACTAAACTAATTGCCTCGTTAGTTTAAACATAATCATCAAATAGGATGGAGGAATTTGCTTAGTCCTCTCTTGCATCTTGATAAAAATGATCTGCCAATAGAAATAGTAATTTTCCATCAACATCAAGAAATTATTTACTTAAAACAAGTAAAAGTTACCTTTAAGTCAGTTTGTTTGATTTAAAGTTTACTAAGATATTTGCTCTAGAAACTTTGTTTTTGCAGTGCATCTTTTAATTTATATTACCATCAAATTAACATTTGGATATTATTCTAATATTTACTTTGCATCTAAGCTCACAGGAATAATTCAGTCTTTTATGGGAAAAGGGAGCTTGAACATGTCAAGCTTTTTTGTTACAGGCCTGGTTTTGTGTGAGATCGCAGGTCTGGTCCATTTCTGAGACCTAATTAACCTCTAATCAGTCCAGCTGGAGTTCTGGCACCGCTAAATGTTCAGGACGAAGCCCGGCGTGAAGAGAGAGACCTGCCAGGACGCACGCATCGCATCGAGACACCCGCCAACTGCAAAATACGCCGTTAGCAACATTTCAGACAAACTAGACAATAGTTAGACGTTAGTAGGCAAACTAGACGTTAGTAGGTTCATGGAAAAAAAGCAAATGGGATGGGAATGTGAGAAGTCTGAGTTGGACCTGCTGCTCTACATTAAACAAGTCAAACTCCAGCAAAAAGGCACTAGAAATGTAGCATTTTGTGGTTGTGGAAGAAGATACAAAACAAAACAAGTAGACAAGAGATACAGATGAAAATATGCGTCAAGATACGTAAAACACCTTAATGAACTCTTATTTATTCTGTATTTGTTTGCAAATTCACTCATTTATCTGCAGTTCTGTGGAAGCACAGACATTCATAGAAAAACAGCGGAGATTAAAAACTATTTGTGTTTTATTTTTATGATGATCGGGATCTAAGTTTTGATCTAAATGACTAGTTTTATTAATATTTGCCTTCAGCACTTCATAGTTTATCAAAGACAAATCAAACACTGACACAACAATTCAGTTAATGTATTGTTTTATATAGAAAGAATAAAAAATTATTGTTGAGAATTAAATTTTGGCCATTATTAAAACGTAAAATGGATCAAATTTTCTGCTTGAGGGCTTCAGAAAGACAGTTTGTGGATCTGGTACCAAATTTGAAGAATCTAAAATCAGCCGTTCGACTGCAGATATTCTTCAGATGAAGGGCTTTCAAAACGTGCCAACATGCTGCGGCGCTGCCATCCAAGCCAGTTTACACAGATCATAACAAAGAAACACGGCTGTCAACTCAGGAACCTCAGCAGATTTGAAGTGCAGGACGATCAGAGCGAGACTGCACAAGTTTAATATTTACAAAAACCAGAACTTACAGGACAGATATGTTTGGACAGATTTGTATAAAACTGAGTAGTTTAGGGAGGTATCTCATAAATCAAATGCAGCATGCCGTAAATTTTAACGCAACTGGGTGGAAGTGTAAAGAAACTTGCAACCTGGCAACAACCCAGAAACACAACATCAAACTCAACAAGAATTCAGAAAGTTCTGGGTCAGAACGGGTCACTTCAGGCTGCAGTTTTATCCCCCACATGAAGATGCTTCTCTAATATGGAGAAAAAACTGAAAGTTTTTATGGATTTATGGAGTGACATTTTGACCTTACGTAGACATTTCAGCTTGGAGCTAAAGAACGGGGTTAGCCACGATACAAAGTTGATAAGGTTACGGCCTTCGCTGAAGGGTCCCGCTGCGGCAGCTTAGCATCGCTTGAATGTGAATCCCTGCCCTGCTGGTCGGCCACAAAGAGCCTCAGTCATTAAGCCTCCACTACAAGCAGAGAAGAGAACAGCTTCAACTTCTTTATCTTGAATTTAATTATTTAGAACCTGCACGAAAAGTAGGAACCAGCAATGGGGATGGAGACCATTTGTCCTAATCAGCTTTCTGTTGTTCTCTGCCAAACAAAGCATTTGCATTCCTCTCCACATCTGGCCCGTTGTCTCCGCGCTGACACACTGGTCCTAATTGCACGTCCCCACTCTGGCTAAATCCACCGTTATCTCCTGGGAATCCATGTCATCTCCAGAAGTCAGCTCCCATCAGCCAGATGTTGAGTAGTTAGCATTACAGCTCAGCCCCGCGTCACAGAGCTGCAGAACAGCTGGATGAAGAATAAATAAATTAATAAAAATAAAGGTCTGAAGTGGGCTGTGCAATACTTGTTTGTTCACAGGCTCCCAGCATGCAACACGGTGGCGTGGGGAGAAACTTTCTGATGCCAGGACTTTCAGTTAAAACGGCTCTTAAAGCTCACGGCCGTTCGAGGAATCTGGCAAGATCTGGGTTAGCGTGCAGCTACGTTAAGACAGCACAAAGTCAGGGGAGTAACAGGCAAAGTGAACACAACAAGGCTTAAAATGGTGAAAGGAGCTTAGATCAATCAGGACAGCTGAAAAAAGGGATCACATTTGTACCAGAGATACTTATCTCTCACTGGCAGATCGCAGCTGAAGCAGAACAGCCTGCATGCAGCTCAGTGGCTTAACACACACCTGTACTGCGGCTCAGGCCTTCCAGCAATCATATTAAACATATTTGCAGAGCGTGCCAGTTCAGTTTGTCTGCTCCTGCGACCACAAACAGCGTTTAGTTCTCTAGTGTACCAGACAAAAAGATACACAACATACACTGCTGGGGAAAAAAGTACTTTTACATTTCATTCTTTACTTTTTGTGTTGCTAACATGTTGGGAAACTACCAGATCCATTGGCAGATAATTTCTCTTATTACAAGACATTTTTCCCATGTTATAAGTGAAATAATCGGCCAATGAAACTGATAGTTTTTCATCAATATGAAGGAATTATTGGCTCGTTTATTTTGACAAAAAGCTTCTTATATTATTCAAGTGAAACCATAAAATACTTGGTCAGATTTTGTGGTTTTGCTGTGAAGCAATGAAACATTTTCATCCTCAATCCAATGAAATAAAACTTGGTTCAAGGCAAAAATGTAACATCAGCTTTTTTGGGGGAA